ACTGGGAGGCACCGGTAAGGAACTGGGGGGGACTCCGAAGGGGCACTGGGAGGGACTGGGAGCACTGGGAGGCACCGGTAAGGAACTGGGGGGGACTCCGAAGGGGCACTGGGAGCACTGGGAGGCACCGGTAAGGAACTGGGAGGCACTGGGAGGAGCTCTGGAGGGGACAGCAGTGACACCCGCGTGTCCCCCCCGTCCCTCAGTGTGGGAGCTGCTGTACTGGCGGGCGCCCCAGCGCTCGGCGCTGGCCTTACTGGTGGCACTGGTGGCACTGGGGTGCCTGTCGCGCTTCAGCGCCGTCTCGGTGGGCGCCTACGGGGCGCTGGCGGTGCTGGCTGTCACCGTCCCCCTGCGCCTGCGCCGGGTGGCCCTGAGGGCGCTGAGCCCACCCCCCCCGGAGCCCCCCGTGCGGTGAGTGACACCGGGGACACGCCCGCTGTCCCCTCCCTGCCACCCCCGGGGACGTCGGGGTGGCGCTGGTGGCTTTGTCACCATCCTGGGGGTGTTGCCGTGTCCCTTGTTCCATCTCGATTTGTCCCTGTTCTGCTTCTCCCTACCGTGTCCCTGTCCCCTTCCCTGTCCCCCTGACACTGTCCCTGTCCCCCTGACGCTGTCCTTGTCCCCCTGTCCCTGTCCCCCTGACCCCATCCCTGTCCCCCTGACACTGTCCCTGTCCCCTGATGCTGCCCCTGTCCCTGTCCCCCTGTCCCTGTCCCCTGACACTGTCCGTGTCCCCCTGACGCTGTCCCTGTCCCCTGTCCCTGTCCCCTGACGCTGTCCCTGTCCCCCTGACACTGTCCCTGTCCCCTGACACTGTCCCTGTGCCCCTGACGCTGTCCCTGTCCCCTGACACTGTCCCTGACCCCGTCCTTGTTCCCCTGACGCTGTCCCTGTCCCCCTGACACTGTCCCTGTCCCCGTGGTGTCCCCCTGACGCTGTCCGTGTCCCCTGTCCCTGTCCCCTGACACTGTCCCTGTCCCCCTGACGCTGTCCCTGTCCCCTGTCCCTGTCCCCGTGTGTCCCCAGGCCGGAGGTGCCGGGGGTGCTGAGCCCGGAGCAGCAGCAGCGCTGGGCCCGGTACCTGGCACGGCACGTGGTGACAGCCACCCGCACCCTCACCCGCCTCTTCCTCGTCCACAGCGTCCCCGAGTCCCTCAAGGTGACACCGGGGACACGGGGGGGGGGCGTGGGGACACAGGGGGGCACGGGGACACGGGGAGGATCGGGGACATGGGGGGGCATAGGGACACAGGGGGGCACGGGGGACATGGGGGGCACAGAGGGACCTGGGGGACACGGGGGGCACAGGGGGACATTGGGGACACACTGGGGACACGTGGAGAGCATTGGGGGCCTGGGGGGCACAGGTGACATGGGGACATTGGGGACTCTGGGGACACACAGTGGGTGTTGGGGACATGGGGGGCACAGGGGACATTGGGGACACAGTGGCATTGGGGACGCTGGGGACACACGGGGTGTTGGGGACATGGGGGGCACAGGGGGTGTTGGGGACACGGGGAGCACAGGGGACATTGGGGACACAGGGGGACATGGAGGGCACAGGAGGACACGGGGGCACAGGGGACACGGAGGGCACCGGGGGGCACAGGGGACACACGGGGTGTTGGGGACACAGGGGACATGGGGACATTGGGGACACAGTGGCATTGGGGACTCTGGGGACACGCAGGGGGTGTTGGTGACACAGGGGACATGGGGACATTGGGGACACAGTGGCATTGGGGACACACAGAGGGTGTTGGGGACACGGAGGGCACATGGGGACACGGGGGCACAGGGGACACGGGGGGCCCGAGGCTGTGGGTGGCACGCGGGGGCCCTGGGGCGGGTGCCGGTGACAGTGACAGTGACAGTGGCGGTGGCACCGCGGTGGCCGCAGTTCGCCTTCCTGTTCTACCTGCTGACCTACGTGGGGGCCGTGTGCAACGGGCTGACCCTGCTGGGAGCGGGTACGGAGAGGGGACACGCGGGGACACTGGGGACATTGGGGACACGCGGGGACACTGGGGACATGGGGGGACATGGGGACATGGGGGGACACGCGGGG